TCTGGGAATGGGGTACTGTGGTTAAAATGAATTCCTATGGTAGTAATTTACCCATCATTGCCTGGCTCCATGTTCTAGCAGGGCCATACTATAACCCTGAGATTACTGATCATGAGAAAGAGCCAGAATGAATCCAGCACATCACAGTTATCATCTGCAGCCATCAATTCCTACTTCCTGTTTATGGCTTATATAGTGCTAACCTGAGGACAGAGCTGAAGGTATTGCCATTCAAGGACGATGAAGATCCTTTTACACCTCTGTTATAGGCAGGATGATGGTTCACACGAATGCTTTTAGGGGAATGAGGCAACAACATTGACTTAGCATTTTTAGGCTGAGTCAGTCGCTCAGTGTTCTGTCTGGGGTTGGACTTTAATGGAACAACAGGAAATGTATCTCTTACCTTGGCCCAGTGAAGCTAGTTTGAGTCTCTTTTGCCCAAGGGGTAGGCCTGAATGCCAAAAGCTCCTCTAGTTAATGGTCCTTCAAGGATTGATGGACCCCTATGGGGGAAAAAGATCTCTCTTGATAGAAGGTCCAATATTAAATATAATTTCTGCATTTGGCCTTTAGTTTTTAGGCAAGAATGACTCCATGTTTTACAAATATGCAGTCATTCTTGGGTTGGTTGAAAAAAAGTAAGCCATTCAAATTTTGCGATGAATTACAAGTTTGTATAAAAATTGACATGAAAAGCTCATGAAACATTGTCTGATATTGTCTTCAAGAGCTGCTAAAGTTTCAAGTTCCTTCAGTCACCCACTCTTGAGTCATGCAGATTTTGTCATAATGGTCAAAATTCAGAGTGAACAGAGTGGACTGCCATTGCAAGACACAAATCCACATTTGAGTTTTGCTTTAAAAAAAAATGTTCCTGTTGACAGGTCATCATGAAAACTTGAAAGAATGTTGCTGGTTTGTGCTTTTAACCATAGAGAGATTTCATGCATGTGCATCAATTTGAAAATGCAGATTTGTACCTCGTAATGGCAGTCACAAACTCATTCACTCAGAATTTTGAACATTTTGAAAATATCTGCCATAATTCATGAATGAAATGTTAAAAGCTATTGGAAAAGATTTTAGGCAACATTCAAAATAAATTTTCAATTCAATCTGTCCAAAAGTATGGATTTAATAGAAAAATGGTGAGGTACTTACTTTTCTTTGATCAACCCTGTAGAATGGACTTGGTAAAGGATCTCTGCTTTAACTGAGTAAAGGAGCAGGAGATGAATATCATCATTCTCAATCCCCTTTGGCTCATGGGGCAGAGAGCCCTAGGATGTCCCAAGCTGAATTCCAAGGTCCATTCTGAAGCCATGCTTATGAAGTGAGGGAATGTGATACTCCAACATCCTAATGACAGCCAAATTTACCCAACACTCATGAGTAAATCCACCTGAATATTGTGAAGGCATTGCAGCATCAAGCATCTCCCACAGCTCAACAGACACACGTTGAAAGGAAGATTGTCTAAGAACAACTAGGAGACTGAGAGAGAGGTACTCCTTTCAACACATTGAGAGATGAGCATTCAGCAGCTACTTCAATCAAATAATTATTTAGGGACTCAATTATTTATGGACAGTATTTCCTTGATACATATGGATGCAAAATGAAAGAAAGTCAGCACATGAGCCAAAAAGGCCTTAATGAGACCTAAGTAGGTAACAATGGACACCATGGAAAGCTTACTTTGGCTTACTATTTTTCTATTTTTCTTTCCCAGATATGGGCCTCTCAGGGAAGGAGTACAACTGGACATTGCATTTTGAACAGCTGAGATGGCTTCTCACCAAAGGACAGTCAGTAACTCCAACAGGTTGCAGTTCCTCTGTATATGAAGGCACCTCCAAGGAATATTTTAGCCATCTGTGAAGAAAATACCCTCTCATGACAAATGCTGAAAAGTGCTGATGATGCCTGCAGGGGAAGAATGTAATGATACAAAATTAGGTAATGCAACTGAAATTATAGGTATCATCCAGGTGTACAGGTCAATGAGACCATTGTGGAGGCTGTGGCTTCCAAACCTTGACAAAATACAATGTCAACAAAGTTACATGGCATCTAACCCAGTTTGAGTCTTGGCCTGCATCTACCCCACAGATTAATTTGTACCCCAATCCTGCAGAAGCAAGAAAAATTAACTGCAGCAAATTTTTTCTCCTACCATTCAGAAGGGTATGATAGATATGAATGTGCAATACTGTGCCCTCCCTACAAAATGCCTGTCAGATACAGTCCTCATAATTTCAGATTGAAATGTATAAACAAGAGATTGCCCCAAGCTCCTTAATCATTCCCTTAATCTCCTTAAGCTCCTTAATCATTCTCCTTTTCACATATTACAATGATACAGGAGAAATCTATCCAGAAATGAACTTCCATAGACCTAGGCAGGTGGCAATAAAAAAAAAATGTTTAAATCTGAACCTGTTCAACCCCAGGGAACTGATTGAGGACTCACTGGGGGGCTTATATGCCAATTCTCAGGAACTCTGTGGACATATTCCTTTTCTTTTGGTCAAGGAAGATGCCAAACATCTCAAGAGCCAGGAATATGCAAAATCCAAGTTCTTCATACTTCTTTGAATTGCCCTCTGCATTTGGAAAGGGAAAATTTGTGAAAATTAACCTAGGCCAATGATTTTGAATTCCAGAACCAAACTTACAGCTCCACCAAGTGAATCTTGCCAATCCCCTCACATGAAACACTTGCACATGTGGTGCAACTGATAGCTTCCAAAACTGATATAGATGTTTCAAATGGAAAATGGTGAAGCTGGGTGCTTCATTCATGTCAGTTCATACTCAGAATAATCACAGTCCTTGTTTCTTCAAGGTATCAATATTAGTTATTGGTATCAGATGTATCATCACATGAGAAATATTTGGTGTAAAGAATAACGAGCCGTCGTCCCAGAAGTTTCCAATTGAGGCAACCGATTGGCTTTGGCACCTCTAAATCTGAAAGGAAATTCAAAGCAGGATTAATGGGAAACCCCTGCCGTCTGCCTAGGCTTAGGCAATGATGCGACCAACTGGGGTTTTTTTACCTATCACAGCTTTAACTTCTGCCACATCCGCAAGGTTCACCATGCGCCAAGGCCTAAAGTCAGAAAAAAGGTTTTTAACTATACATAAACGCATCCACGAAGATGCGAACTAACTTAGGCCTTTCATTTACTTCGTAAATTCAATATTTTCCTTCATGCGTATTGGAGGAATTAGAAGTAAGTTCGTTTTACATGTTCGTGCATGGAAATGCAGGACTCTTCGGGACTTGAACTCCCATTTAACTACACCACTGATCATGGATCATTCGGTGATGAGCTGGTAATTCGAAATCCACTGTATAGGCAGGTTCAGTCGGTTCCCTTATTTATTGAATGAAAAGGAAGCCTTTCGCGCGAGCACGTGGCGGGCTCCAGGGTCCAGTCATGCCGTGACGTCATCGTGACGTAGGGGATGCATTCTCCTCTCGCGTGAACCAGTGAACGGAGGTGCTAAGACTTGCTTCCTTACATGCGGCTCCGTAGGCTTAATGTGATCTCAGTGAAGGGAGATATACCTTCACGTATTTGTAGGCGTCACCAGCTTCAATATGGAAGTCCAAGACGGTCAGTTGAGATGCCAAAAGTCCAAGGTTTGGCGTCGGTGACAGCAGCTTGCATTCATGAGATTTGAAATAACGCAAAAATACGTGAAGAACGCGGAGAAGCATGAACGGTTGCGAGATATCCGCCCAAATGAAAACCTTTGCGGAAAGTGCGATGTTGATCCTCGATAGGGATTGACTTAAAAAAAAAAAAATTGCCTTAGATTCCAGCCTTCCATAAAGCATTCAAAAGTTCGAGCTTGAAGACAGAGTGGAAATGGCTCGGCCTCATCGGCTACGTCCGTGACGTCATCGGCATCGACAGGGGCAAGAGGATAGCCGGTTCCCGCTCTGAACGATTCGTCCCCGAAGCACATCTCTCCGCTTCCCCGAGCACTTTGGACAAGAAGCTGTGTGTCTCCTCCCACTCCTCTCCCGGCGGCCGGGTGAAGTCTGGAGGTTTCACGAAGGCAGATACCATGGAGCCTTTATGAAACCCGAATAGCAGACTTTGAAGACTCGCGACAGAGCCTGTCATGGGACCCGCCAACCGCACCCAAATCCAGTCACTTCGAGGGGAGAGCGTCGCTTTAGATTGAAAATTTTCTGGCAGACTTTTAAAGCAGCCTTTACCCTAAGCGCTCGTAAGCGACCCGTTACCGAAGCAGCCCTAAACAGTCCGTATCCTCAACCTAAGCTCATTCCAGCAACCGCAGACGCACAACTCGACATTCCGGGTCGTGCACCTTAGACGGCGTGAGAGAAGGAATGCCCAAACTTGACTCTAACACATGCCAACACTCTTGGAATGGGTTGTGCCCTGAAACGAATTTGTTCAGACGTGCAGGGACAGATACCGAATCCAAAAAGGGAGAAACCAGCCCCTCAAATTAAAGCCGCGAGGTCACTCCAGATTTCATTGATTTCATTTGAATTGCGTCTCTTGTGAGGCTTGGATGAAAAAAAAGTAGACACGAAGTCGACAATCTCCTCATTCGGGCGACATTAAACGAAGTCGACCTCACCACAGGACACAATTCCTCGATGAACTTCTGTCCTCCGGCTCATGGCTCATCACCGAAACAGGACGACACCGGCAGGCAACGGCGGCGCACAGCCCACCTCGACTCTGGCTTTCAAGGCACGATGCCTCGCCTGCCTCGATTCCCAAACCATAAACTGCAAAATCTCGGATCCTTTGAGATTTTCTCCTGGGAAACGATTAGACCTCGTCAGTCTTCTGAGCTATTCTAAAGCAGCATGGCGCTTCTATTACTCACATTTTCGGCCAGAAATGCCATTCAAAACGTTACCCCCTCGTTCGCATATACAGGGTGGACCAGAAGTAAGGAAACGCGTTTCAACTGCAACAAAACTTTTATTGAAAAGCAATGGAACTAAGCAGTGATACTCACAAAAGCAAATGTGTATGACGAACTTTTTTCCATAAAGTTTCTCATGAAAACTGTTGAATTTGTCCACTGATGAAGTCTTTGCACAACTGCAGTCTTACTGGTAGTGCTAGGTAAACTCGCTGGCATGACTCCACTGGCAAGCTCCGCTTTGTGGCAGCGAGAGTGTCCTTCGGTGCTGGAAGAGTCCGAGATTTCGTCGCATGCACAACGTCATTGATCGAACCCCATGAAAAGAAGTCAGCCGGGGTTAAGCCCAGAGACCATGCTGGCCCTTCATAGGGCGATCGGCCCTTCTTGAGTCAAGACAGCAGACTGCCATCTAGAAAAGCTGAACGGAGAAAGCACTCCTACCATGGCTTTGCAAAAAATGGCGAAACCTTCTGAACCTTCTTCACTCTCAGAACGTCAATGGTTATCTCAAAGCGCCCAATTTTGATTAGGTGTGTACATCGTCTGCTTCTTTAATTCCTCGCACCACTTCGTGGGACATGTAAGAATGAATGCAAAGAATTACTGGTTCATAATAAGAAGGTTCTTCATAAGAAGGTTCTTCATTCGAAGTTGATCTCAGGGAATGAAACTAGGTCATAATAGTAAAGGAATCATGCAAGACCTTTCATCAATTTTTTGTTACAGAATTTCTTTACGAATGCTTTATTCCTGGCAAGAATATATTTGACACAATAAATAGCTTAGCACTTGTAAGAAAAATATTCAAGGTTAAGAGCTAAAAAGCGTTTCCCAATTGAAGGCTGTAACTGAGGAGAAGCAGTTGTGTTTGTCAGCAAAGTAGCACTTTTTTTCCCTAGAAGGAATTGGACCAAATAATGAATAGGAATTTTGCATATAACCGGAGTATTCCTCCCTATGGATTTCAAAGCGAAAATCAAAGTAGTCTTTTACACTTGCTCAAAGGGGAGGTGCTGAGACGCTGGGGAAGCAAATTTCCGTCTCTGTCATGGAACATTTTCAGTTTCACAGAGTTATCAGCAGCAGTCATTCGCCGAGGCTCGGAGTCGACGCCAGTATATCACAGTGTATGAATGGGTTGGACGCAGTAGTTGATTCCTGGGTCTTTTCCACGATTCTACGCCTTCTGAAATAGATGAAAAGGGCGAGGCACGACACGAGCAGCAAGGCCGCGATCACAGGACCGATCACCCAAAGCGAATTTCCCTTCTCGGTTGACATGTGAGCAGTGGCACTCGAGAGCAGGCGGTTGCTTGGAATCGCCCCTGGGGGAACCGGGATCATGTCCAGGGACAGGAAGCTTGACATGTTACTTGTACCAAACAGATTTGGCTGTGGGAGAGGGGAATATTATTCATCAACGAGGCAGTGCAGTTCCTTTTTGCTACAACTCGCTTGCAACAATGAACATGTAATTAATACAACACGCTTTCACCTTACATACGAGATAATTCGTTTGAGTTTCAAATTCGATGGGTTTAGTTTAAAATAATAAATTGTACTTCTGGTCCAGAAATGAGAGAAGTTGGACCGTACATGTTAAATCCATCATCCAGACACAAGAAGAAGCGAATCACGGACCTATGGAATCACGAGAGAAATCCAGGATATTTAATGGGAGGGAGCATATTTTTCACGAAAAGGGCAGCAAGGGATAGAATAAAAGGGCTTCGAGAAGTTCCAATTCAGTCATCGAAGCGTTTGTAGTTACAAGATTATACAGTTATCATCTCACATTAAGGAACTTCCAATATCCCAGACTCACCTCAGTGGGACTATCGACATAGGCTCGAAGGAAGATCCTGTAGCGTTTCCTCTTAGACAAGGGCTTGTTGAGATAGCCATTGAAGGTCTGAGGGTCTCCCAAGTTGAAGATGTATGGGACATGTCGACCAATGAACTTTGCCGCGATGTATGGGCGATCTTCAGGAGGAAGTTCAAGGAAAAGACTGCTTGAGGACTCCACAGCCTGGATGGGTCACATTACCGTCAATCAGTAACCATTTTTTCCGAGGGCTTCATGTATGGCTGATGACGGGAAAGACTCACGTCATGTAAAATATGATATGAGTTTGGATCAGAGAGATTTGCTGCGTGGCTCTCAGGGATCACCACCAGAAAAGAGTGTGATATCGGCCCAAATCTCTCCGATGCCTGAGGCAAGACAACCATGATGGTACCTGTCTCGGTTACACCATACAGCTTAGGTGTTGCGAGAGAATAAGGAGCTGTGGATATACCATACACCGTTACATAATGAACTAAAGAGTCAGGATGAAAAAGGGAGCGTGAGTCGAACCCTGCATCTTCGTCGTGATATAGATGCTGGCCGGAGGACGATAGTCCTTCTTGGGTGGGACTGCACTCACGTTCACCTTGTATGTTGTGAAGGGGGTCAGTCCATGGAGGGTGTAAGATGTATCGGTGCGATTGAGGAATATGATTCGGGGTGGGATCACATCTATCTGTGTCGCTCCGTTTTCGTCCGTAAACTCTTTCACTGCGTCAAATGAAACCTTTCGAAAAGAGACGTTTGTCTCAATCACAATCGACTATATTGACACTTATCGTTAACACAGAATCGAAATGAGATCGGGTCATTATGTTCAAGAAAATTGTTTGAACTCATTACCCCTTCGTACAAATTGTATGGTAACAAAATAGTATTATCCACCACGCGACACCTACATAATAAGCCTTTCTTTATTGTAAAGCAACATATATTTTTCACCAGCCGAGTATTTCATATTCCTTTGGCAAGTTTCAAAGTTTTCTTCGAAAATAAAATTGAGTAGGTATAGCGATTCTGAGCTTTGTCCCAAGTATAGCCATTATGCCAAAAATTTAAAGAATATGAGTTTCACACAAAGCCCATGCTCCAAACACAACTTTCTCCATGGAAATGTAACTGGTAAATGAGCACCTGCCGACCAATCATGGACTTGATTGATGAATGGGGTTTAATTATGCATTTTCCAGTTTTTTTTTCAGTTTTGGAGTAAGAAGACGATATAATCTTGACTTTGTTGACCTCTTGACATTATGTTTCAGGACAATTAGTTGTTCAGTTTTCATCAACTTCCCTTATCTACCTGCACCAGGTCAGCCAACAACAATAGAAAAAAAGTGGAACCTCGGGTTCATCCACCAACCTATTTCAGACGTGCTAGTAAGTGTTCCATTTACAATAACAAAATTCCATGGAAAAGTAGTTTCAGTTGGATAATGTGCTCAATTATTGAACTCAAGGTCCTGAAATTTTTTATTATAAATTACCGCAATGAATCATTGAACTGTTAAGATTACGTTTTATCTGCTTTTATGCTGTAACCATTCCCAATAGCCTGCACCGTAATATGCGTCAGAATACTAGAAAGCATGATCATGTTTACAATATACACCTTCAATAAATATATATTTGAATATTTGGAGAGGCTGATGTACAGTACTGGGTGGGCCAAAGAAAAACAAGGGTGTCATTTTTCATGAGTCGTTAATCCCATTGTAGGTTGCCGATTCGGATTAAATTTGGTGGGCCTATAGGGGGACACAATTGGAGCGTTTACGCCGAATTGCAAGGTTCTGACTCTAAAATTACAGGAGCTGTATTTATTATTTTCTGATGAGCATCGACAAAATGTGCGGTTAAAAATATCGATATAAATTTGAGGCCAGGGATGAAAGGGACGACCGAATGCATGAATCCTTCACCCCTACATGATGCTATAGAGGACGATTGGGAAGCACTGCCTCAAAGATTTATTGACCCAGACATTCATCTCAGACTAGAGGCTCGTGTTAAACAGAATTGATGGCACGTTGAGTACCTTTTCATTTGAAATCAACCTACCTAAGCCAAATTGTGTGCCCTCTTTGTTGAAAATTTATGCATTTAGTTTTTGTTCTGCTTGTTTGCTTGTTAGTTTATGTCGCTTGTGAAAAACTTTTTGTCTAATAGAAAAAAAATTAAAGGTTATGTGTTGGGTGATTTTGATGAAATTAACTTAAATGCTAATTTGACCGTTTTTGGAATTTTGATTTGAAACTCGACATACACACCGTAATTGATTGCATAGGTGCCCGAGAAATTTCATCAGAATCGGTTCCCTGCAACCAGATTGACAATTCACCAAAATCAATAGCTTTGGTTTTTTTGGCACACCCTGTATATTGGATAGGCTGTATTTAGATAATTTGCTTTCAATGGAATTTTCGCTGCGAAAGGAACGTGGGGAAGAAAGAAGGCAATGGTATTTAGTAACATTTATAAGAGTATCAAGACCAAACCTTATATTTATAAGGAACGAAAGCATTGGGTGACTCCCATCGAAGGACCATGTAATTCTGCTCCACGCGAGTAGCCCATAAATCCAGGGGGACTTCTTCTGGACTCACTTTCACCCGTATCATCTCTGACAGTTTCCCCAAGTCTCCCTGAGCAGACACCATACGCTGTACACCAAATCTCTCCATTCAACTCTACTCTGAGGTTAATGAGACGAAAGGAACCCAGTCTCACGCCTTTGGTGAGGGCAGCCACTTGTATGGAGTACTCGCCCAATCGCACTAGATTCTGCAATTCGGCGGAGGACGTGCACGAAATGTCTTTCTGCATCCACAGTTCTAGATTCTCAGTTTCATCCATATTGTAATATATCTGAAATGAACTGAAGAATATTGCGGCAAATCGCCACCATAATCCAGGGACTCACGACTAAGAAACCTAGTCACCCTGTATCCTGCAATGCTTTCTCGTGGAATTTCATCCCACCACACTTCCAATGTATCCTTAGAAGTTGCCATGGCCTGAACGTTGATCGGAGCACGTACAATCCCAGGAGTGTTTGAGACGTGGATCTTCTCAGAGAAGGGACCTGCACCTTTGCTGGTGTAGGCACGGATCCGAAAGTAAAGTGGAATGTTTTCTTCCTGACCCGTCACCTTCAGCTGAATAAAGGTGACCATATATGCATCGCACCCCTTTGACTTGGACAAAGATTTCATTTGCAAAAGATCATACCCCTGTCGAGGAAAAATTTTTTTCGAAGATGAGAGAGTCATCAATCTTGTGTACTTGCAGAGTGTAGCCTAAGATGCGTCCATTGCAATGAAGTGGCTTTGGATCTTCACAAGAGATCACGATGATATCTGAAGTGATGAAGCGGAACGATATGTTTTCGGGCGGGCCGGTGGGAGGTCCCTCGGGGGTTCTCCCGATAGCCATTGCTTCCTGGCCACATCCAACATTGTTGCAGCCAGAAAGTCGGAATTCATACTCACATCCTTTTTCTACGAGCAGCGATTCGGTATTAGTACAAATAGAACAAAGTTTCGCGAAGGGAGACTATAAAGGATCATCTCACCGAGGTTTTTAAATTTATAATTCATCGCATCTGGTTGACCCAGTATGATTTCTTGCATGCTACTCTTATTTAACTCATTGCAAGGGAGATTTAGGGAGGAACCGGATCGCTTTCCAAAACGCAGGCGCCAGCTCTGAATTTTCCCATTTGTCCTGGATGGTTTGGTCCATGTTGCTTCAATGGCTACTCCATTGGTCTTTACGACTAACAGCCTGTGGAAGCAAGAAATGTATGGAAAGTTTTAATTTCCACAGTCACTTATGATTAAACTGACAACGAATCTCGAAAAGTTGTTACTTCTGTATTTCGATTTCTGAGTTTCTTCCTATCACTAGGATTGCATGTTCGTTCATTAGGAAAATTTTTGCGCTATTTCCTTTTTCATATAGGCTTACAGAAATCAAGGACCGCTGCAAATAAGCCAATTTACCTTACGTGAAGTATCGGCTTAGAAGGGACTCCTCCAGGAGTCTTGAAAAAAATGAGGCTACTTCCTGCCCCATTGCCCTGACGCATCAAGGCCGTCACCTGAGCCTCATATTTTGTATCTGGTTGCAGATCTGTGGCAAGGTACGCCATTGCAGATCCATTTTGAACATTGTAGATGAGTGGCTCCCCAATGAGTTTTTTGAGATCATCAGTCTCCTGGATGCTGATTCCATAGCCCACAATCAACGGATGCTGCTCTTTCTTCTTGGGAGGTTTCCATTTTAAATAGACAGATGTGGAGTTCACCAGCTCAGCCTTTACCTCATCCGGTTCGCTAAGCACTGGATATGAACAAAGGAAAATCTTTTGCATCTCAAATGCGTTCCATCAACTCCACCAAATATGAGCATCGTGTTTGAATACCCGCACAACCGCTCAGTACCACGCAACGCTCAAATACAATGTTTTCATATTTCAATAAACGACGGAAGTTCATTGCAAATTTTCAAGTTGATTGAGGGCATGGCAAAATGCGAGGTCAACACTGTTAGGAATAAATTTTTTTGGATTCTGAGAAAGATTAGAGATAGGGTATGAGTCTGAACGTAAGGATGAGAAATGAAAATGAAAAATTCGAAGTTTATGAAGTTAGACGTTTGGTGCATAAAATGGTCATTCAACAAGGGTAATTAAGTTTGATACGTGAATAATTATTCAAATCAATGCAGCGCAGAAAGTATTTCCTTTAGCTTTTTAAACATGATATTGATCAGCCTATTTTAGTCGTACACCCTAAACTTTGGAGGTGAGTTGTGAATGAAGACTCCTACAAAGAATCCCCACCATTATTAGGTATTGTATGCGATTTGAGGTTGATGCGTGGTGGGTGAGGTTGATGGAGTCTTTTGGAACCCTTTTCGGCATAATATTGATGATATGCAATCCAATGTTTTGGTCATTAGAATCACAAATGTACAGAAATATCAAGTCCTGCGTCGGTATGCTCTTTCGTCTGCTCTATGTCGAACGGATAGGAGAATTAGATCATTTAGCGTGACCTTTTGTTTCATTGCTCACCATATGTTCGTGTGGAGACAAGTATCGGAGGAGTTGGTGCACCTTCTCCGTTCTTGCTTTTAGCTGCGAGCCATATGAGGTATTGACTGCTTGGATACAAGCCGGTCAAGTTGTACACTCCTGTGACTGGGATGCTCTTGGAATGGACTTCCTATGTTCCAATGAAATAAAAATGAAATGCTTCATGATGGACTCAGATCAACGTCCTGATACGACGATGGTTAATTGCACAAGAGCACATTTCATCGTATCAAGCGAAAACGTTAAATGCCTAAAATTAAATTTATTCAGGGAACATCTAGATATGGCGATGAATGTAAATATAAATCAGATTATCACCCTTCATTCCACCGTTGACCGCGACTCATTAATTTCAATTAATTTCCGCGTTATTTCACATGAACAACGTTATTTGTCTCTCTTGCGAAACCGTTAATAGATATGGAGTGACAGAAGTGACAAGACGACCGCAAGAGAGCCAAGATATCGTGAAGATTTTGTATTTCTAGCTGTTGAGTGAAGCTCGCGGCTCATATTGCAGCGCTCACGTTCGTAAAATGGTGGAAGATGTGATAAGTAATACTCACATTTGTATAGGTATCATTCCAATATAATTCATAGCTGATGATGGGTTCTTGAGCAGATTCGTTTGGCAAATCCCAATTGAGCTTGATGGTTGTGGCACTTCCATTCACATATGTGAGGTTCACTGGCATGGACGGAACTGTGACAACCCACGAATAATATATTTCACAATAATCGCTTTAGCAGTTTCTTATCATTATGGCCCAAAACAAGTTGTCCTGATGATTTATCCACAGTTATTGAGAAGTGAATTCAAATGATCAAAGTGCATGATATGATGAAGAGTGGCTTCAGGAAAATGTAGAATGAGGTGGGGGAGAAGAACACGTCATCACATTTCGTAAAAGCTCCAAATATATTTAATTAACTTTTTATTTACAGCTTAAATTGGATGGCGCAAATTTCCTGAACTGTTTGTTGGTTTATGAATCCAACTGAGGCTCATCAAAGGTTCGAGATTTTCGTATCATATTAGAAACACTGCAAAATGTGTTCCTGATAGTTCCAAATAAACTGAAAAAAGGTTGAATAAATGCGACAGTCATTCAAAGTGGAGTCATAAATTGAACCTTTTGGGGCATGAGGTGGATGAAGTTTTATTACTCGTACGATTTCTCTCTTTTCACGCCTTAAGCATTACTTTTATGCCATATACCCATCTCGCTGTACTCTTTATTGTGTAGTGTCTCTCGATCTATAGTGAGTAAGTAAGGTGATTATTTCTTGAATTTTATTTTTTTTAATTTAAGGCATAAACAGTGGAGAGAGAAGAATATAGTGAGAATCTCCTATCAAATCATATATATTTTTGTTTAGTCTCATCCTTCCCGGACCTTCTTTCAAACACTCCTTTAAAGTAGTGACTCTTCTTTTTAGTAGATACGACATGATGAAGCTACGCTCTCAAGGGTATTGCACAAAGAATGCTACCGTAACAAGTTGACGTTTTGGCAAAAATGGGATGCATTTGCTGAGTACTGCTAAAACCGTTGCCTCCCGATCCGCGGAAAAGTGTATTTTCAACTCGAAGTGGTTTTAATGACTATTGCCTTTTACTAAAACAACCCAAAGACATTCAAACTCGCAATATATATATATATTTTTTTTTTCAGCGAATATTCTTTGTGATGAAAAGTTACAGAAATCCAACATTTCTAAAACGAAGTTTTTAATTATGACGCTTCTTGACAATGGCAAGACTTAACGCTGCACATTTCACCTATATACAAATTATACATAAATGTTAACTAATAGCTTTAGGATTGGTGGTGATAGGATAACTAAAAAATATAAGTTATAAATTATAAGTAATAAATTATAAACGCAGGAAACATATCAAGTCAAAGGTGACCTATTGGAAATACTGTATAGTACAGCTCATATGTATGTATCATTGTTTAAAAGGGAAATTTACGAGAGAAATGAGAATAATGTAATTTTTCAATGAGTTATGCACCCGATGCGCACTATTCTGGTTTTTTAAATGGATTGAGAAAGAACGTCGTGGGGCGTGAAAGTTAGAATCATGGGGCAGTTTATCTCCACCAAACATAAAACACTGCCTCTTCCTCTCTGGAAAGTGAATCTCTTCTATCGTGAAAAACTACAATGAATAGTTTCCTCATTATCATGACTGAACCGATTCTCTTGCATTACACTTTTTCACTCCATAATTGGAATTCACCGAGAAACACTTTAGCATTCCTTTGAAACATATGGATCAGATTGGAGCAATGAAGACGTTACCCCCATATTGAGTCTTGGCTTGTATAGGTGGTGACGCATGTCCGCTCTTTAGGGAAGTGTATGCCTTCACACGGATGCTATAGGCTGTGAACGGTGTCAAGCCTGAGACCGTTGTAAAGTTGTTTCCACTCACCAATTGGCTCGACCACATTGATGTCTCCAAGGCAGGGTTACTGGTATAGTAGACATGGTAGGCCTATGGATCCAAGGAGAAGTGGATATCATCAACAAATGTACTTAAAATTCATTTGTGGATCACAGCCCGTTGGATGTGTGAGTGATGAACGCGAGACTAGAGGACTCAATGATTAAAGGATTTTTTGGCTCCTTTCCAGAAAGTTTCCATGTCAGTTTTCCTTTTCAGCCTTCAATGCACTCCATATATATTATACAACTGGACTTTATTGATATGTTGCATCGACGTACCCAATCGTTTGTAGTACCCTATACCTCCCCCAGTGGTTCTTAACGTTGAGACAACATTGATTCAACGTTGATTGAACATCCGGACGTTGAACCAACGGTGAATGAAGGTTGATTCAGTGTTATGCGCTACTAGGGTCTGTAATATCAATATTTCCACCCTAAGAAATGATACGACACTCACCACTAACTTTAAATTGCTGCCTGTTCAATTAGGAAGGAGATTTTCTTACCATTACGTTTAGGTGTGGCATTTCCAGTTCGTCCCACTGTATCATCAGAGTCGTCAAGCTTAAAGCTCTCGCCTTCACATTCACTGGAGCTGATAGCGTATGACGAAGCAACGACAACCTCAGAGCCAAATTTCTGTCCAGCCAAAAGCTTTCGCCATATTCATGGTCATCTTCATCATATTCATCGAAATCGTTATCTTCATCGTGGAAGGAGAAAATCAGGCATTAATGTTTTTTGCCAAGTTCAACTAGGGCAGGGGTGTCAAACATACGGCCCGCGGGCCGGATCCGGCCCGCGAAGGTGGTTCATCCGGCCCGCCGTCTGTTTTTGAAAATTTCCCCTTGGATTGAGTGTCAGCACAAATTTCAGCGAAATATTATGGGTGCGGCCCGCAGGCATCTGCAGGGTAAGGAATGAGCCCGGCGACCGGTTTGAGTTTGACACCCCTGAACTAGTGGATTGTGAAATTGTGACTGTGGAAGATATTCACAGCGTGCTTTCGCATGGACTTATTCGAAATTAAATAAACATTCTTTCTGAAGTGTTAGGATCATTGTCACTCAGATCTGCACTAAACTACGATTTGTGATGAAGTAGTAAGCTCTGAATATATAATAAAAACTTGAGGAACGGTACGGAAGCCAGGTGGGAGAGCGTCTCGGTGAAATGGCATAACTTTCCGAGTGAAACTGCGAAATATGGAATTCTATTATTGAAAGCTATTTTTCGATTTAATTCACTTCTACTTCTTTAATTCACTTTACTTCACTTTAATTCACTTTAATTCACTTTAATTCACTTTAATTCACTTCAATTCACTTTAATTCACTTCTTTAATTCACTTTAAGAGCGGCAGAAGGGCTTCATAATTTACTTGCGAATGTGTTTGTCCTTCTAGAAAACAAATTCTCTATGGTCGCGTCTTTGGCGCTCCAGTATTTATTAATGATTAATTCATTTGAAATGTCCGTTTTTACCAATCTGGTAAAACTCCAGGGGTCATAAGGCACATTTATTGCTCTTTCGAGTTACTTCCCGTTATGTGACGTTTTTGGAAAACTAACAAACGGAGATCCTCAGCTTCCTTAAATAGTTGTACCGAGACGTACTTCTGTACGGTATTTTCTACTGTCTATACCCACTCGAATTGTTTTAGCGTAAAAAGTTCTAGGAAATGTGCAGCATCAGAATTTTTCTCTTGGATTGAAAAATTCAGAAATTTGCTTGGAAGAATAAAAAATGCAAAGAATGTACTCCAAGGGATTTAACACAATAAATAATATTTTTGTATGCTGAAATCGGCACTCGAAGAGCTACACGCCTACCAAGTTTCAGCCTTATACGTTTTCAAGTTTCGCTGGTAAAATATATATGTATTTGGAAAACCGACCCGCTCAAAAGCTGTGCCCTGAATGGATGGATTGCAAAAGTTCCATTTTTTATTAACTCAAAATCATGTCAGTTGTGCGTGTGCTGAGTTTCATCTCAATATTTCTGCTCGATTCGCTAGAAAAAAATTTGATAACGTTACTTCCCAAAAATTAACGTAAATGTATGTGAAACGCGTTATTAAAAAAACTCAGTATCTCAGGAGGCACGTTCAAGACAGGTTTTAGGTTTCCATGGTACTCCATTCGACAGAAGTAAAAAAAAAATATGCGAAAACATATTCCTCCGCAAAACGTTTTCCCAGTGCACTAACCTGCTAAGCCTAACATTTAAAAACATCGGCATATCAATAGGCACTTATGTACCAAGTATCAGGTTTCTTAGCAAGAACATGGTTAGAGTTAGCATCATTAACGCAGTCAGTCGCGATCGCGTATGTATTGGGTGATTCAAAATAAACGCTCTACCGTTTTCTAAGCGAGACGCACTGTTTCATAAAAAGCAAAATAAATTAAAATTTACTACGCTATCGACGTTGGACGATTACAAGGTGCTGAGATACAAGTCAAACTTTTTTTCAGCCTTAGTCACGCAAGGCCCATTTAGAGGTGAGTTAAAGCTGCTAAGAAGTGGATAATTCCACCTTATGTGAGGTTATGATCTGTGTCCGACCGTCTAAGAATTCAATGAAATTTGGCACACGGTCGGATTATTTTGAGAATAGCCTGCAGACAAAAAAAAACGTATCTGTATCTAGAGCGGAGGCCAAGAAAAGTGAGTTTTAATTTGATGACGTGGGGGGGGGGGTTGAGGACTCAAAAAGGCCCCAACTCCAGGATGCTAAAGTCCTGAATACTCGGCTATTACGTCACCACCATATTTTGATTGGCTACAGCCTTCCAAGAGACTTTTGGAAGCGGTTGATACTTGGCAAAGAAGTTCCTGAGTCTAAGAGGTTTTTGGCAGATCTGTAAGATGGGGCTGTATGCCGATAGAAGGCGTTTTTGTTAATCGGAGGGCCCCCAATATTCGTGCAACGGCACGTTTTAGGCCCGGAAAAAAACACGTCAATCTTTTGTGCACCTTGTTTACCTAGGTATATCCAATATGAAGAGTTCATAAATCTCATCATTTTTGTTCGAATATACAAGTCTTACAGAAAATGTTGGAGCATACATTTTGAATCACCCTATATACGATATCATCTGTCACCGCCAACCTGACTTTCTTGGACATTCTTAAACTTAACGCTGACGAGAAAGAGGCCCTTGGTTCCTCTCTTGGAGTCCATTTTAACAATAAAAAGTAAATGTTCAAGAGTTGCAAAAGATTCTTCCTTTTATCATTGGATTCTATTGTGAAAAAAACTATTATTAGAAATCGTATTGGCACACTTAGCAACTACCTGGCGTTTCCAGTTGGACCCTTTTCTCAAATTAACCATCTGCTGCAGGAGTCTCTGCATGAAATATGATCGAGAATTGATTTGAATGACATGCTCAAATTGCATACGCGGTGATTAGAGGGGTCACAACCATTCACGGCGCTTCAAATTTTCAGGCTTTTCCTGCGGAAAGGGCTAATCATGGAAAAACATGAACATTAACAACCGAAGATTGACTGATCCCATGTCCACGAGGATCTCTCCGTTGTAGTAGTGAACCTCCGCATCCACCAATACATCGTGGTCGTCACCGGCGTCTTCGTCGTCCTCATCGTCGTCGTGGAGGGAGGATTAGGATCTGGAAAGTCACGAGAATAGTGAATTCTTCTCACGCTTCCAATCACCTTGTGTATACACGCTTATACTTGCAATATCTTATAATATAATACTTGCATCAGACATTGGCAAATAAATACTTGGAAGAAACGTGCCCCATTTCAGAGGTAAGTTCCATGAGAAACCTTCATTTCTTTCCTATTCTGTCCATAGAGTAAAAGAGTTGATGTGAAGGTGTTGTGAACCCTGTCTACACTTCATTAAAGACGAACGGAACCATACTGGCGGACGTGAACAAAGACATTCAGGTATTATAAAAGAACAAAGAAGAAATTAGATAAGAACTTATAAATATATGGAAAGTTATTGACGTTAATCCGCACAGTAGGTTATGGTAGTGAGTTTTCGCTGGCCGGAATTTTTATATTATTCGTAGTTTCACTATCTTTGTCACCTCAATCGATGTCATCTTGATTTTCAGCATATATATTAAAGCAGGAAACATGCAATTGTGGGGTTGGGTCAGTATCACCATGAAGAAAAATTCTCCCAAAATAATTCATCTACATCCTTCGCTGTGCTGTTTTTAAACAAAAAGTCCAGGTCATACTCGAACCATCCTCGTAGTATCGCAACGAATTTTATCAGAGGTTTTGACCCTCATGTTCTCAACAGTTCTCAGCAAATCTTGTGCAACTGTTAACAAATGAACGGCAGCGTTCGTACAACTTCTTGAATATAAAGTGAATGTTGTAGACATACAAGTCATTCTGTAAACTTGTTTACATTTTAAATATTTTTTGAAGCTCTCAATTCATCCACTTTTTTAATACTCTGGATATTGAATGAATATTCATTTGGTCATCGTATTTCCAATATTCTCCAGCCTTATGACCACATGAATGAAGAATAAACGAGCTGGACGGACTCTGTAGGCGTATGTGAGAACTGGATCCGCCCATGCTATTCACTCCACGGCACTCGTAGACGCCATAGTGCTTGGTTTCGACTGATGGAATCACCAATGTCTGCCTCCAGCTCTTGTGCTGTCGCCATCCGTGGCCAACCTCCAATTCCTCCTCCTCCCTGTTTTGACAACAGGGGATTATTTACAAGATGCATATACGGGATGGCTAGATGATGCCTGTCTTTAGAGGTCCAACCCCCGAGAAGCTTCATATTCTTATTGCCGAGATGAGGTCCTTTACCCAGTGAAGGGAATACCCGAGTGTGCTGCTAGATCTGTTCGAGACGGGACCCCCTTAATTTGTTACAAGCGGCCTCGAGGATTTATTTACTTACAAGCATGTAAATCTACGCTGACGAAAACCCGATGGCCTAGACAAACAAAGACACGAGGGTCTAAATATTCATTCTACCCAACATACAATAGGTAATGAGGGAAGCAGTCTCACGATTCAGAAGAGAAACTCACACAGCGGAACCATTGATGGGTTTATCGTCGAAATACCAAAGGATTTTTGGCTTCGGATAACCAGACATTGTGCATTCAAGTCTCGCTTCCTTCCCCGTCTTAATATCCAGTCTCGTCCAAAGTTCATCTGCTACCGGTGCATCTGACAAATAAATATAATGCTTAAGAAATAATGAGTAACGGAGAGGAATAAATTAAGATGAGGGAAGGGGAGGGGGGGAATTTCTGAATGCTATAGCTTGACCGAATGCAGAGGGAGCAGGGTGAAATGGAGACAAAGAGAGAGACGTGGGACAGGAAAGAAAGGGAAAGCACTCAGGTTCTACCCTAAGTCTGTGGACAGAAGAACCGCGTCCACCTTACATTGAACGTTGAGCTGAATGCGTCTGCTGACATCAGGCGGGATGCCGTTTGAAGCAGTGCACAAATACGGTCCGGCCTCGCCCCTGTGGATGTTCGTCAGATCCAACACCTCCCCTTTCACCGATTCCGCTGAAGTAAAAGGAGACTATGCAATCCGCATCCTGTTCAGTCGAAGTTGAGTATGTTGGAGAGATCTATGGGATTGGGGAATCCAATTTAGCGGGATCCTTATAGTATCGCCAGGATAGAATCGTCACAAAATATGACACTGTCACCAGAAGAACTCGGTTTCGAGGCTGCTTTTCACAGTGGATGACACATTCTAGAAAAATTTCAAATGAGGGAATCCAGGACCTTGTGGCATTATTGAAAAAGTGAGTTCCTTGTCTGCTGAAGGTCTCCAACGGCGAGGGATTGGAAACATGGCATTTCATCGTATAAGTAAGTAATGGGTGCATGGTTCGTCATTAGATATGAAACCTAGGTGTGAGCACGATCACCATGAAACTAGGGTGAGAATGCTCACCCTGGTGTCCAGTTACCTTATTGTCGGAGTAATACAGTACGTCGGCTCTAATTTGAATTGGCACGAGTTTGTTTCCCTGATGTGGGACCAATTGTAATGGAATTGGGGCGCGTCGAGGTTGTTGTCAAGGTCAAAGTTTCAATAACTTTTAACTTATTTCACCTTTCCACTCACCCACCCACCTTTCCACCATCCGACCCACTGCGCCCCGTGCCCGTTCTGATATAAACCCCCTCAACTTAGTCCTAGTGTTTTACGATTCCCAGCTGCGACCTTGGAGCGAAAAAAGATAAAAGAATCGCCATTATCGAGGCTCTCAACCACATCGCGGAGACGCTGACCCTCATTTGCGGCAGCGGTTTTTTTTGATAAAATGACATAATGCTCTTCGTCATAATTTCCGATCGCCGACCACTCCGTCGGGTGAATTTATAGTTTTCATTAGCAGCCGGGTTGCAACGGAAAACACACCAAAATCATGGCATGAAACTAACTTTCATGGTAAAAAACGTTGAGAGAACCAAACGAAAAGAGGGACGTTTCATCTCCATCCAAGGAATGGCTGGGTCCAATCTGCAGGATTTTTCGGTCGTCTTCCCGTCTCCAATTGATCTCGGGTCGAGGGTGCCCTCGTGCCCGACAGGAGAGTTTAGTCCTTTCCCACTCCTTCACCGTCACGTCTCCGCTACTTTCGTCGTCTATTAGGACGGGCGACTCTACGTGGGAGAAATTCACGTCCTCTACAGTTCTGCCGGAAGTTACGGCTCGTTCCACGACGGCATGGGCACCTACGAACCTGACGTGAGGATGCAGCCGACGCTCTCCAGTTCGTCCACCTGGCACGTGTAACAGCCGATGTCGTCGGACGATACGCGTTCGATGTGAAGAGACCAAGTGCGATTGTCCACAGTCGAAACCGAAACCCGGGCATCATTCAGCATCACCTCCTGGTTCTCCGTCAGCACTGTCCGATTTCGGATCCAACTTATCTGCCGAGATGAGACATGAAATCGCTACAATGACAACCGTCCCCAAGACACGGCCCAACACGAGGTTCTCGTTTCATGGGATTCCGTCCCACGGACGCATTCGAGAGAGCAGCACCTTGTGAGACCCGAGATCATCAACCGTGCAAGAGAGCTCTGCCGTCTCGCCAAGCGATACCGTGATGTTTTCGACCCCGTGCACAAAAAGATGCTCCTCCCCTGTTGCCTCTATGGAGAAAAATTACGCATACATCAGATTCATCATGTGTGCACACGACCGATAGTGAGTCTTCTGAAATAACAAGATTGAAAAGCTATTTTTATTTTCTTGGATTCGTATTAAGTGGCAACAGTCATTCCGATAAATGATGCAAGTGTGGATGTGGATAGCTTGCCTTAATTTCCTCCGTAAACTTTAAATTGAATATTTACACAAAAATTTTGACTTAGTCAAGTGCCCTGTAAAGATCTCCAATGCTCAAACGCAAAAAACTCATGATTGCTTGAGAATTCATCTGGCATTTGTAATGAGAATTGCTGTCGCAACTTCGCGTTCCGCATTCGTTTCCCCTGAATATACCTTTTCGAAAATGAAATTCTATGAAGCATGTGGGCGGGCATGCATCCAAAAAGTTTTAAAAGCGGGGCTGCAAAAACCATGAAAAAATATCGTGAGGCCCTCCCAACGTCACACGAGACGGTGAGCTAATGACAGGACTCACCGACGCCTAAGGAGAGGCAACCGGGGATGCAAAGGATGGAAAGCAGGATCGTCGAGCAGTGAGCCATTGCGGAATCTTCTTCCCAAGTTCCACGACTGGCTGTGGGACGAGATCCAGGCAACAATTACTGGCCAGAATTCCTGGTTGCTTTCTTCCAAGACCATTCTTCCTTTCGTCAATTGACAGGATGAAATGGGATCTTCAATGCCGGCGTATAGCCGTCCTTCGTTTAAGCATTTTACCAATGAATCATATATATGTACATATTTGCCTATATGTGTTCCAAAGTTAGGAGTCAGGAGAGTTAGTGATATCAAGAGGCGATTTCGCCCATTTCGATATCACGTGTCGAGGTCGAGCGTTCCTTAATTTTAGGGTAGGCCTAACCCTCTTAAAGCTATATATTTTTGTATTTTTGTAATTTTTTTTTTTTTTTTTTTTTTTTTACTATCCTAGTTGCTTACTGTCTAGTACCTACGTCAACATTGCCCCCCACCTTTTTGCCTGTCCATGAAAGCATCTAGTTTCTTCTTAAAGATAGTCACAGAAGGGGCAGCCACTACTTCGTCATCTACGCATTCCACGCGTTCACCACTCTGCAAGTAAAGAATTCCTGTCTCGACCTGAGCCGCACCTGCGGTTTGCGCAACTTAAGTCGGTTTCCTCTCGTTCTCTTGCTGTCATCAAACTGGAAAAACCTACCACACTCGACAT